AACAGACTCCTGAAAAAAGTTATAATCTAATACCCTGAATGTTCAAATGCAATTATTAAAAAAGCCATTCATTTATAAAAATTCCTAGAGCCTTACTTCAAAGTAGAAAAATAAATTACAGCTCAGTCTTTAACAATGCCTTGCATTCTGTTCAAATCAGAACTCCTTTTTATTCAGATTTATACCTTTTACTAATGAAAACACAGCTTTGGAGACAAGAAGGAATAGGTCCAAATCACACAATTTATAAAAAAGGTTTAAGTCTTACCACGTGGCAAAGATGAGTCTTGAGGTTGCCCAAAAGACTTCTTATGGATACAACTAGGTTTAAATGTATATTTGACTTTTCCAGGTCGATTTTTCAGAAAACTGTGACCAGGCTGATTCTCTCTAAAGTAGAAATCACATAATTATTATATTCCTAGAATCTCATATCATGATAAACTTTAATATTTCAAAAAGCCCAAATTAAGCAGGATGCAGTGGGGCAGGCCTATAGCCCCAGCTACTGGGGAGAGTGGGACAGGAGGATCACTGGAACCCAGAGAGTGGAGGCTGTGGTGTGCCATGATTGCTCTGGTGAATGCTACTGCACTCCAGCCTGGGTGACAGAGCAAGATCCTGTCTCTTTAAGGAAAAAAAAAGCCCAAAAAATATAGCTCAAATTAACACATTCACTTGATACTGCCTATTCTGTACCTCAGTAATGTACTTAACATATAGCAACTCTCAACAAATTATTCTTTGTATCTCGTACCTCAAACCTCATTTTTTTCACAAAAATTTTTTGTGGTTATCTCACTCTCCATTTCAAATTCTCCATATATTGGACAGTTATATATGTATTTCATCCCTGCTTTATTCTAGAAAAGTCTCAACAGGAATCTTCGGCATTTGAAGTAAACTCCACATTACACACACAAATGATCTGATTACATCTGGGTTTGTGTTGCTAGTATATCCTCTAGGCTCTTAAATTATGTGATTATGTTTACAATTCTAATAATTTATTTTGTCAAAGGTGGTGATTCTTAACAATACTGTACTCCAATTCATGTTCACCTTATGATCACCAACAAATATTAATAGAACTTTGCATGTTTGTTGGCCATATATAAGAAATTTTATACTTGAGTAGTTTTCTTCAGCATACTATGTATATAGTTAATTCCTGCCTAATTAACTCATATCTAAGCCCTCTGCAGGTGATTAAAGTAAAATACATAATAGTAACTACAGTTGAATGAGCATAAATGGGCAGGTCAGGGGCAGGTAGCAGAAAGGGAAGTGGTAAGCAGCTGGGGACTGGCTGTTTCTGCAAGAGAGGAGATGACAAGTGGGAAAATAGGGGGAGCAGTCAGGAGGCGAATTACCGAGGTAATTATTAACAACAACTAAGTAAATGAAAACTGGACTGCACAGATATCAAATTTCATACTTCTGGTATACCTAAATGCTCTGTAAGCTTAGTGAGAAATGTAAAACAATTTTTGCCTTTTTCCTTGGTGATTCTATCAATGCATAAAGACCTCATAATTATGAGGTTACTTTTTTCCTTCACTTTACCATCACAACTCTAGGCAGGGTAAATGCAAATGCACTGAACTTAGGTCACAAAAGTGCTACATTTCTTCTTATCAAGACTTACATTATCTTGCCAAATGGCATGTCAAACCTTGTCTTACCCTCTTGGAGAAGGGCAGTGTTGATATCTGGAAAACTGAGCAGGGCTGGATTTGTTAGGCAATGGTTTCCATGCAGTTGTTGGTAGCTGTACTGACTCAGATAACAGTTCATTCATCAGACTGTATGCTTGTGAGATTCGACGAGTGTAGTGTTGAGAGAGCAGCAATCTGTAGATAAATTCAACATCATTTACTAAGAGTCACTTTCAGTTCATCTACCCAGAGGGAATACAGTGTTTGAAGAACACCTGGCATTTTCTTTCTTGTTTTTTTTTTTTTAAAGACAGAGTTTCACTCTTGTCACCCAGGCTGGAGTACAATGGTGCAATCTTGGCTCACTGCAACCTCCACCTCCCAGGTTCAAGCAATTCTCCTGCCTCAGCCTCCCAAGTAGCTGGGATTACAGGCGCCCACCACCACGCCCAGCTAATTTCACCTAGCATTTTCTTTCTTCAATGCTTCTCACATCCTTCTATTCATCAGACTTCTGAAAATGATAAGGCAGTATTATTAAAGGTACTTGGAGTTATAGTCTCTGGAGCATTTCCCAAATGGATGTACATATCTGGGTTGGGAAAGGGAGAACAGCAGAAATAAAAGCCATAAAAACTGAATGAAATACATAATATTTGAAAGCAAATTTGTAAAAAGGCTGGTGAGTCTCATCATTTTCCTTGCAGTGATATCTCCCATAATTTTCTATTTATTGACAAAAAAGAGACTATTGTGAAAACAGAATTCCTAAGGCATTAATCTATGACTCAGGTAAGGAAGTTAGAGAGAGCGCACCGGGTTATCGCTACCAAACTCACCTGTCTTTTTCATGCTTCATCTTTTGACTCAACCTGATTTCCCTTGAAGTCATGTAAAGCTGCGTAAGAAATATCCAGTTGGTTTATTATTGTTCAATCCAAATAATTAAACCATTAGACAAAATTCTGTTATTTAGAAAACAGTATAAAACACTGTTGTATTTGATGAAGCTTCCTACTCTAGCACAAAACATAAAAATGTTAAATTAAAACATCATGTAATTAAAAACCAATTTAATAAATGGAATGCAAAATCTATTTTACTAGTTCAATTAATATATTTTACTGAATAAGGAGAGGACCTTATTGGCTGCTCTAAAAATGGAAAGTAGGAACATTTTAGGTGGAAGCATCTATGCTTTGTACTCAATCTTTTGATTAATCTCACGAAGAGCTTGTTAATAAAGCAGAAATTAGACATTTTAAATAATCATTTTTATGTTTTAAAATGTTTATCAGAAACCTACTACAGTGCATTGACTGTGACTTGTAAACTCTTCAAGTTATACACCAGAAAGCAAACAACTAATGTCAGACACATACGTATTATTCCAGAACATTAAGAACTATTGGTACGAGTTACATGTGAGGTTCTTTTCACACACAATTATGTATATAAAAATAGATACTCAGAAGTAAATTCACTTTTCAAGGTCCTGTAGAGAAGTAGTCACTAACAAATTAAAGGTCTTGTTGATTTCTAATAGAAATTCAAATGAAAATTTTAATTACATTAACACCTCACTAACCCATCCCTTTACCAAAATAGAAGTTAAAAAACAAAACAACTGTTTGCAATCTTGAATGAGACCACAAAATCTATGAACCAAGCAGTTCTTATATCCTTAGAGCTTGTTCATTTAGTTCAAGAGCTCACTCTGTTACCCAGGCTGGAATGCAGTGGCATGATCACAGCTCACTATAACCTCAAACTCCTGGGCACAACTGATTTTCTCACTTTGAGTAGTTAGTACTATAGGCATGGCCCACCATGCCTAGCTAATTTTCATTTTCTTCTTTTTTTGTAGAGATGAGGTTTCAACTATGTTGCCTAGGCTGATATTGAATTCCTGGTCCTCAGGTGATCCTCCTATCTCGGCCTCCCAAAGTGCTGGGATTACAGACATGAGCCACCATTCCTGGCCAATATATTCTAAATTTGGACACAATTCTAACCATCTTGGGTATTTACTTCACTGACAGAAAAGGTGACGTCAGAACCCATTCTGCATAGGGAGGGGGAACACACACACATATACACATACTCAAAATACACATGCACGCACTTTAAGATTCTGGTCACGTACCTCAGTAGCCCTAGAGGTCACTACCATGTCTCCTGGGCTATCAAGAAAATATTATGTTAACACCAATATGCTCTTTTCAGAGACAGGTAAGTACATTGTACACTTTAAACAATAGTTTACCTACTTTTGCACCATTTGGTGTTTTAATGGGACAATTAATCTGGAAAATTCACCTAAAGAATTTGTTTTCCTAATAATGCTGAAAAAATGAAGGGATATTGTATTTTATTTCAGATTAAAAGATAAACTGTAATCTAAATGTAATTTTCATAGTAATGTTGACTATCAAAGTAACACTGCTTTGTTTTATCATCTGAAGAAAAATATACCTGACCTAGCGATCGTGATGTCCATACTTAGGGCTCAGTAAATAAATGCTGACAGTTTTAAAGACAGTTAAAAAACAACTGCCACGTGTGTTCCTATGCAACAATTTTGCATGTTCTTCACATGTACCCCAAAACCTAAAATGCAATAAAATAAATAAATGGGAAAAAAAAAAAAAAAACCCACACACACAGAAGTGACATTGTTCTCTTGGTACCTAATTGGACTATATATATATATATATATATTTTTATTCTTTGTAGGTAACTTATGGACAGAACATTGAAGTTTTCTTTTATTTGTTAGCTTCTGCTTTATTTGTAGACACAGAGGCTGGCTTTGTCGCCCAGGCTGGAGTGCAGTGGTGAGATCACCACTCAATACAGCCTCAAACTTCTGGACTGAAATGATCCTCCTGCCTCAGCCTCTTGAGTTCTGTGACTACAGGTGTGTGCCATCACACCTGGCTAATTTTTTGTGGTTGTTGTAGGGATGAGGTCTCACTATGTTCCCCAGGATGTTCTCAACTCTTGGTCTCAAGTCATCCTCTCACTTTGGTCTCCAAAAGTGCTGGGACTATAAGCCTGAGCCACCATGCCCAGCCTCAAAGTTTTTTAAGAAAATAAATGTCATAAACTAAGCAAGGGGGCAGGCCTAGAAAATATTTTTAATTTTAAAAATGAGTTTTTAAAATGGCTTTAATACACATAGTCCATTGTTTCAACTGCCATTGACTCTTATTGAAAATTAAAGGAACGGCCAGATGCAGTGGCTCACACTTGTAATTCCAGTACTTTGGGAGGCTGAGGCGGGTGGATCACGAGGTCAGGAGATCAAGAGCATCCTGGCTAACACAGTGAAACCCTGTCTCTACTAAAAATAAAAAAAATTAGCCAGGTGTTGTGGCATGCGCCTGTAGTCCCAGCTACTTGGGTGGCTGAGGCAGGAGAATCGCTTAAACCTGGGAGGCGGAGGTTGCAGTGAGCCTAGATTGTGCCACTGCACTCCAGCCTAGGCAACAGAGGAAGACTCTGTCTCAAAAAAAAAAAAGGAAAGGAACAACTCCAGTTGGTCACCCAATCACTCGACCGCTCCTTTTGTTAAAATGCTACAGCCATCATTAATTAGCCTGGGGGACAAAAAAATATTTAAGATAATTCAGTATAACTTAGCACAATATCCTGCAACATTTTAAGGTAATTCTTTAGCTTTTCCTGACTTAAGTAAAACATTGTCTTTTCTATATGCCAAATTAAAAATGTATCCAAATTATGTTAATCCTTTTCTTGTAAATTTGACAGGAAAGTAATTACACATATTCTATAATTCCATTACATTACCCCTGACACTGCAGACTTACTGGATTACTTCTGGGACAGAAAGGATCATGTTCTTGCCCTCTCTTTTCTGCCAGCTCATTTAAGTACTTCGCCATTCTTTCTTTTCGTTTTCTTTTCATCCAGGCTCGAATCTTTCTTCTTTCCTTGTCAGCTCTTTGTGGATGTCTGCCAGAAGAATGCTGAATTCTGAGAAATTTAACAAGCAAGACATCATTTGCTTTTAAACTTGTTATGCAGATAAGATATATCATGACTACACACTATTTATCTGGAAAGATTTTTCCCCGTCTTGGAAAGTAGTATATACGAGGTAACTTTGGAAGTCCGCACAGTGTCAGTGCAGATACTACTTAGCCCAGGGCCTGGTGGCTGGGCTCATTTTCTTCTTTCCAATCGAACGTCTCTACCGCAAACATCCTCCGCCACATCTTAGGTCAGGCCAAGAAGCATCCGAGCTTGATCCCCCTCTTTGTATTTATTGGAGCTGGAGGTGGTGGAGCAGCCCTGTATCTCTTGCGTTTGACACTGTTCAATCCAGATGTTTGCTGGGACAAAAAGAATAACCCAGAGCCCTGGAACAAACTGGGTCCCAATGATCAATACAAGTTCTACTCAGTGAATGTGGATTATAGCAAACTGAAGAAAGAACATCCAGATTTCTAAATGAAATGTAAAGCTGCTTTAAAATGAAGGTCTTCCAGAAGCCATCCACACAATTTTCCACTGAACCAGGAAATATTTCTTCTCTAAATGCATGAAATCATGTTAATGTAATCTATTGGTGATTACACTAATAAATAACTGAAACTTGGAAAAAAAAAAGTAGTATATACTTATAGTCAACTCACTCCAATTTGTTACCTGAAATCCACTAAAAATGGACTCAGAAAGCTCACTTACAATTTCTTTATAACATTTGCTTTAAACTCTTTTCTCTTCTTCTTTAAACTCTATCTTCCCTGGGTCTTTTCCTAACTCTCAAAACACTATGTAGCCTCCTGCATTGGCTCCTTTCTTCTCTGCTCACTGTTTTAAAATTAATGTCTTAAAGGTTTTCTTTTTGGCTTTTTAAAAAAACATTTAAATTTTTGGCCGGGCGCGGTGGCTCAAGCCTGTAATCCCAGCACTTTGGGAGGCCCAGGCGGGTGGATCACGAGGTCAAGAGATCGAGACCAACCTGGTCAACATGGTGAAACCCCGTCTCTACTAAAAATACAAAAAAAAAATTAGCTGGGCATGGTGGCGCGTGCCTGTAATCCCAGCTACTCAGGAGGCTGAGGCAGGAGAATTGCCTGAACCTAGGAGGCGGAGGTTGCGGTGAGCCGAGATCGCGCCATTGCACTCCAGCCTGGGTAACAAGAGTGAAACTCTGTCTCAAAAAAAAAAAAAAAGAAAAGAAAAAACATTTAAATTTTTGTGGGTACATATTTACAGGGTACATGAGATATTTTGATACAAGTATGCAATGCATAATAATCACATCATGTAAATCCTTTTTGACTTCTTCATCTGTTAATATAATTTATTCCCTGCACTATCTCTATAACTTTCAAAACTTCTAATATAGGGCTGGCTCAGTGGCTCACGACTGTAATTCCAGAACTTTGGGAGGCCAAGGCAGGTGGACTGCTTTAACCCAGGCATTCAAGACCAGCCGGGGTAAGATGATGAGACACCATCTCTACAAAAAACACAAAAATTAGCCAGGTGTAATGGCATATGCCTGTAGTCTCAGCTACTCAGGAGGCTGAGGTGGGTGGGAGGATCGCTTGAGCCTGGGAGGTTGAAGCTGCCATGAGCAGTGATCACGCCACTGCATTCAAGCCTGGGTAACAGAGGAAGACTGTCTCAAAAAACCAAAAAACTTCTGACACAGAGGTGACTTCCAACAGCTGCCCTTCTGGATCTACTCCTATGCTTAGGCTCATGCCACACTTCCTATAGTATGGCCCAAATTAAGGGACTAAGCATGGCAGGGATATTGTGAAAGGCCCATTCCTGCAAGACACAGGTGACTGTGTGGGTGACTTTGGCCTGAGGTCCTACCATTGACCTGGCTGAAACATTCTTACAACTACACAGTGTACTGAGCCTCTGTCTCCTCTCCCCTCTTTCCTTCCTCCTTCTTTACAGGGAAGGCTCAGAGCTGCATCATAGTCTGATGCTTTTCCTTACTACTTACCATTGACCTGGCTGAAACATTCTTACAACTACACAGCGTACTGAGACTCTGTCTCCTCTACCCTCTTTTCTTCCCCCTCCTTTACAGGGAGGGCTCAGAGCTGCATCGTAGTCTGATGTTTTCCTTACTACTTACCATTGACCTGGCTGAAACATTCTTACAACTACACAGTGTACTGAGGCTCTGTCTCCCCTACCCTCTTTCCTTCTGTCCTTTACAGGGAGGGCTCAGAGCTCCATCGTAGTCTGATGCTTTTCCTTACTTCTTCCCCGCACTCCCCTATTCTCTTACAAGCATTTCCCCCAGTAAAGCAGAAACTAAGGCGGGATTAGCTTCCTGGAGGATCTGAACTAACACACATGTACTAGGAGTGGTCTGAGAAAACTGGTGGTGCAAAATGGGAATTTGCGGCCAGGTGCACTGGCATGCACCTGTAGTCCCAGCTACTTGGGAGGCTGAAGTGGGACAATTGTGAGTTCAAGCCCAGCTTGGGCAAAGTAGCATCCCTCCATCTCCAAAAAAGAAAATTAAAAAAAAATTCTTTTTTAAGAGATGGGGTGTCGCTTCTTGGCCTTTTGGCTAAGATCAAGTGTAAAAGATGGGGAGTTGGGACAGATGCATCACCCAGTGTATGAAGAAGACACCCTCCTAAACAGAAGACCAGTCACAAATACAAACAATGTGGTTTATTCTGAGTATCTGCTTTCCTTTTGGGAGTCTGGAATCTTAATATGTGCCAGGCAGTATCCCCCCAGTAAAACCCTAGGCACTGAGTTTCTAATGGGCTTGCCTGGTAGACATTTCACACAAGCTGTCACAACTTGTTGCTGGAAGAATTAAGTGCATTCTATGAGACTCCACTGGGAAAAGTTTCTTAAAAGTTTGTGCCTGGTTTCCCCAGAATTTACTCCATGTACCTTTTGCCTCCTGTTAGGATAAATTATAGCCATGAAAATTACATGCTGAGTTCTGTGCATTCTCCTAGGGGATTTCTGAACCTGAAGGTGATTTTGGGGACCCCCAGCACAGGGTCACATCTACATCAGCACTGCAGTCTGATAGCTATCTCCAATTTTATGGCATCACCCCTTTTTCCCTCACAGGCATTTCTCCAAGTAAATCCCTTGCTCATCAAAATCCCATCTGCTTTGCAGAGGAATTAAAACTAATGTACCAATGAATATTACCACTTGATGTTCTTCTGCTACCTTATATCTAAAACTGCATTCTCTTTTTATTTAATTTTTTTTCTTTGAATCAGAGTTCACTCTTATTGCCCAAGCTGGAGTGCAATGGCATGATCTCGGCTCACTGCAACCTCTGCCTCCTGGGTTCAAGTGATTCTCCTGCCTCAGTCTCCCAAGTAGCTGGGATTACAGGCATGCACCACCACACTTGGCGTCATCATGTTAGCCAGGCTGGTCTCGAACTCTTGATCTCAGGTGATCTGCCCACCTCAGCCTCCCAAAGTGCCGGGATTACAGGCGTGAGCCACTGTGCCGGGCCATTATTTAATTTAATTAAATTAATTAATTTACTTATTTGTGTTTTTGAAACCTTGTCTCTACCAAAACCGTAAAAATAAGCTGGGGGCAGTGGTACACACCTGTGGTCCCAGCTACTTGGAGGCTAAGCTGGGAAGATCAACTAAGCCTGGGGAGGTTGAAGCTGTAATAAGCCACTATCATGCCACTGCATTCCAGCCTAGGTGACAGAGTGAGATCCTGCCTCAAAAAATAAACAAACAAAAGATATATTATGTCCTTCTTAGGGAAGGAAGCAAAATTAATACAATATAGCATTTAAAAAATATTTTTATTAAAATTTTTTTTTGAGATTGGGTTATGAGACTGGCTAATTTTTATATTTTTGGTAGAGACAGGGTTTCCCCATGTTGCCTCTGCATTCTTTTTCCTGCTAAAGAAATCACCATCAACTCAGTCACCCAAGTAGAAAAGCTGTCACTCTTCCCACCTGATAGCCTCCAAGTGTTTACTTGTACCTGTTACCCTACAGTCTCCATTCTGATCACCTCATCTCTAAACTACTGAAGTAAGTCTTCTAACTGGCTCTAATTTCTATCTTAAAGCCCTGTGCTGCATGCAGATGACCTCATCTGAAGCAGAAGAACCTGCATGCGTGTATCACTGCTGAAAGAAATCATAGATGACAAAAACAAATGGAAACACATCCCATGCTCATGGATGGGTAGACTCAATATTTTGAAAATGACCATACTGCCAAATGCAGTCTACAAATTCAGTGCAATTCCTGTCAAACTACTACCACCAGGAACAGGCGCAGTGGCTCACGCCTGTAATCACAGCACTTTGGGTGGCCAAGGCGGATGGATCACCTGAGGTCAGGAGTTCAAGACCAGTCTGCCCAACGTGGCAAAACCCCATCTCTACTAAAAATGCAAAAATTAGCTGGGCATGGTGGCACACACCTGTAATCGCAGCTACTATGTAGGCTAAGCCAGGAAAATTGCTTGAACCCAGGAGGTGGAGGTTGCAGTGAGCTGAGACTATGCTACTGCACTCCAGCCTGGGCAACAAAGTGAGATTCCATCTCAAAAAAAAAAAAAAAAAAAAAAGGCCACCACCACCACCAACAACAACCACCCCACCATCATTCCTCACAGAACTAGAAAAGACAATCTGAAAATTCATATGGAACCAAAAAAAGAGAGCCCATATAGCCAAAGAAAGACCAAGCAAAAAGAATACATCTGGAGGCATCACATTATGACTTTATACTATAAGGCCATAGTCACCAAAACAGCACGGTACTGGTATAAAAATAGGCACATAGACCAACAGAACAGAATAGAGAACCCAGAAATAAACCCAAATACTTACAGCCAACTGATCTTCAACAAAACAAACAAAAACATAAAGGGGGAAAGGACACCCCATTCAACAAATGGTGCTGAAATAATTGGCAAGTCGCATGTAGAAGAATGAAACTGGATCCTTATCTCTCACCTTATATAAAAATCAACTCAAGATGAAGACCTGAAACCATAAAAACCCTGGAAGATAACACAGGAAAAACCCTTCTAGACATTG